TTCCTGAATATAATATGTATTATATATTATATATGTGTAAATACATTTCATATTACTTTATATAAGTATAAATATGTAAAATAAATATTATATATTATATGTATATATAACACTATATGTATACAGTTCTATTTCAATCCCAAAGCCAACATAACAGGACTGAAGGCAATCCTATTAGAGTCAAGAATAAGACAAGGATTCCCACAATGACCATTACTTTTTATCATTGTTCTAGTAGGTACAAGCCCATTCAATTAAATAAGAGGGAAACAAAGGATATAAAAATTGGGGAGGAGGAGGTAAAAATAACCATTAATTATAAATGGTATAATTGTGTACCTAGAGAAACAAAACGCATAGAAAACCATGACAAATAATAAAGTAAATCTGTAAGGGGGCTAGGTACAAAACTAATGTACACTTAGTTATCCATAGTCCTCACTTTGTCAAATAACCAATTAGGAGATATAATGGAAAGAAAGTCTTCACTTAAAATAATAACAGAAGAGATTATATATGTAAATACAAATTTAAGAAATATATAAATCTATAGGAAATAATTATAAAATGCCCATTGAGGTTAAAAAGACTTCAACAAGTGGAAAGATATATCATGTGCTTGGCTAGGAAGACAGTATCAAAAAGACATAGAATCTTTATAAATTAATCAAAATTTAACATACTCCCAATTTTAAATAACCAAAGGGTTTTTAATTAAACAAGTAGCTTTAATTCATACTGAAAAGTAAATAGTATGTAAAAGAACAGTGATGAAGGTTCACTTGCTCTGTCAAGCTGGAATCCTATGCAGCCATAAAAATGATGCAAGATTTTCATGTAATCTTCGAAGATATATTGTTAAGGAGAAAAAGGGTCAATATAGCACCATAGTGTGCTGCCAGGGGAATACTTATAAATCATTCTTTTAAAAGATATCAAAAAAACTGTTAGCATTTTAGAGGGAACTGGGTATCTGGGAAACAAAATGAGGTATGACTGAATAATGAGAGTACCTTCTTCCTTTTGTGGAGTGTTATCTGTCTTCAAAGGGTGGTTCAACAATATTCCAGTAAAGGCAAAACAAATTTTTTTCACCTTTTTTTTTTTTTACAAACAAAACAACAAAGTCTGAATCATTAAGACAGATCACCTATTGGATTTAAAAGCCTCAAATCAAAGCACATATGGCTCTCTCCAAACCTCAAATCTTCCCTGTAAAGGCAGTCATTTGGCACACTTGTGGATTATGTTTTTAACATGAATAGTAAATGGGAAGTATTTGTTAGATGAATCAAATGCCGAACTGTTTCAAGCAATACTTTTTGCACATCTTTGTTAATATATTATCCACTTTTCACAGGTTGCCTTACATTTTTTTTCCTAGCTTCCTGAATATTTAATTTATTCATTTTGGTTTCTCCAAGCATTTGATACTATAAATTTTCTTCTGTGTGCAGCTTTTGACATACTCCCTAACTTTAGATGTTAGTTTTCTCATAGCTTCTTCTAAGGAGACTATAACAGTAGTTTGACCCAAGTGCAGAGGTTTACTATATGACATAAAATAGGTATAATTTAACCTTTCCTTTGAATGAATTACAAAGTGCTATATTTGTACCTGTAGATGCAGGTCTGAGGACTATAGGAGTATATAAGTCCCAATCACTGAACCTTACTTTATTGAAAAAGTTTCTGATCACCACTGATTTTTCATCATCTGTATGTGTCTCATAAAGTCAGTTTGGGGGCAGAATCTCTAGGGTAGTATAGCAACACTGACTTTTGGCCAAATGAATTATTAAATCAAAGAACAAAACCAAACATATCCTGAATAATAATCAATAATAAAGGCCAGGCAATCTTCTTCACTATTGTGGTTGCCAGTGTCTTTGATGTGACAGCATCATCTACAAACATCATCTAGTATTTATAAATCAGTCACACAATGGACTATGCACAGTTCTTTGTCACAGGCCCTCACTTTTTTTTTTTTCATCTCCACCACATTTAGTTTATGGATGGGATGCAAAGAAGTATCCCTAACTATTCCAGGAAGGTATCTGGGGATGTTCTAAACAGTTGCTCCTAAAGCTATTGTTTTATCACCAAAGGATGGCTTTTCACAGAGATGACACTTGAACAAACGAGCTTCAACATGACTCCATAGGCAAGAAAAAGATTTAGATTTTATTCCTAATATTACATTGGTACGATAGGCTGAGATTCTGAATAAATCTCTTTTTAAACAGCACTTCGGAGTCCAAATAATACCCTGACATACAGGTTGAATTAATGAGGTAACACTGACAGGCAAGGAGATCACAGAAAGATATATAAAGATAGATAATAGATAGAGAGATAGAGATAGAGATGTGAGAGAGAGAGAGAGAGGTGATAGATATACAGACAAATAGATAATTCCCAGACACCAGCAGAGCCCCCTCTAAATAGGCTCTGAAAATTTTTAGAAATAGAAGAGCTTTGCAACCCTCAGATCCACCTGTGGCTCTCTAATAATTCTCATTGGAGTTCCAAAAATATTTCTTCCTCTATTAATACATTAGCTTATTCTCCTTAAGTGCCACTAAACATACGGTTAGAATTTCCGACTATTGAAATGTTTAACTTGTGAAAGGGCATTCTCGACGCACCCTCACCCTGGCCCGTGTGGTTCAGAGCTGTGGTCAGTGGATATTAACACATTTCCTCCCCTGTAATCACAGCCCAGTGAGGCGTGCTCATGTCAGTTACACTTTTGAGAAATACATAAAATGAGCACATGTAAAAACAGTCAAATCTTTTCAAAGCCTTTTAATTATTTGCAAGTCTCACCAATGAGGCCCAATATAAATAGTCACTGGTCAGCATATAGCTGAGGATTAAAATGATACCTAAGAAAATAACCAAAAGATGGGCCGGCCGAGTGGTGCGATGGTTAAGAGCTGGCTTGGAACGCCAGAGGGCCCCGGTTCGGATCCCACATATGAGGGCCAGTGACACTGCCCTCTACAGCTAAGATGCTGAACAACAGCTCAACCTGGAGCTGGGCTGCCGTGAGTCGCCGGCGAGGGCATAGGCTGCAGCCACTGCTGCAGTGGGTTGCCATGGGCTACCGTGTGTAGCCAGCAGCCAGTGTGAGCGGCCAGCAGCCGCAGTGAGCGGCCGTCCAGAAGCCGGCGGCTGATCTGCCTCGACTGGGAAGAGCGCAATGATGGTGCAACTTGGGCCAGTGAAGCAACGTCCTCCACAACTAGACTGAAGAACAAGACGACAGCAACTTGTCTGTTCCCCTTCCCCCAATTCCCCAATAAAAATCTTTAAAAAAAGAAAGAAAATAACCAAAAGAATATGTTCCATAGCTCTATGTTTTGCTGCTAATTTCTTGATGGTTAGATCTAATATTCAAATGGATGTTTTGTTTTGAAATGGGAAAACCTCACAAGAAAATAAACAAGTGATCAAACAAAATTAAAACTTGCGTAGTTCAGGAAACAGCATTTCTTCAGGAAATACCTCAAATATAGCCATTTTCTATGCAATTACTTCTTCTGCAGTACTACAAGTATGCTCTGATCTTACTAGAGGAAATCCAAAGGCAACTGAATAAAATGTTGTCTTTAGCTCTATTTCGATTCTGTTAATTATAGTGACAGCTATCATTTATTCAGTGTGTACTTTACTTTTAACAAATGCACAATGTAACTTTGTTATCTCTCATCCTCTGGCTAACCCTGTAAGGAAGTTAATCTCCCTTTTCATGGCTGATGAAGATGATGTTCAGGGAGGTGAGTGACTGGCCCAAGGTGGCAGACTTCGAAATGGCAGCACTGGCATCACATGGAGGCATGGCCAGCTCCAAAGCTCTGTTACCTTTGCCACCCCTTCTACTCTGGGGGAGGCAGGGACCCTACAGATCTTGCCTGATGTGTATTCTATTGGGTCATCAGGAAAGTCATGACACATTTTTGCATTGAAAAACGTAGAAAAATACGTCATGACTTTCCCGACAATTCAATATAACAGATGACGTTCATATGGAAGACACTTTCCCATGAGGCTCTTAAGACAAAAAATATTTCCAGAAGTGAAACAAGTGGTGCCAGAAGCAACGCACAAGGATGAGATGACTTACATCACGCCACACTTTTCCATGGTAGATCGGTATCAGTCATTGACTCTGGGGTGTAATTCAAATCTGATATGACATACGTTATAATCAACTTCAGACACTTTTCAGCTAATAACCCGCATCTCTTTCTCCCACTCAAATATGCATCACGGAATACAGAAGAATGCAAGTGACCATGGTATAGGTACAACATTGAATCCATTCCAGTGTGGCATCAATTTTAAAGCAAATCCTTTGCAAGCTTTAGTAACATACTAATAGAAATTAATTTCTTGTGACACACTTCACAGCTAATTGTGATACATCTCTCTGTCAACACTGTAGTGAGGAACTGCTTGTGTGGCATATAGTAGGTGCTCAGATTTTAATTTTATTTGATGAAAGTTGAAGGTTTACTTAATGTGAATCTTCAAATTGAGCGTTGTGAAGAAGGGAGAGCAGGATTAAATAAGGGTCGGCCATCTAAGCAATGTTTCAACACCTCCAGGAACTGGAAGCTTGCTAACTCCTGAGGTGGCCTATTCCAATCCTACAAACACTTCTTAAACTGAACCAAAAGCTTTTTCCCTGCAGCTTCCTACCACCCAATGGTGCGTGTTCTACTTTATGCAGCCACACAGAACGGCTTCGTTCCTGCTTATATGTGACAGTCCTAAAAATATCTGAAGACATTTCACTTTTCTCTCCAGGCAAAACATTGCCAGTTCTCTCAGTTATTTCTCCTACAATGGGGTTTTTCCATTTTCTCACTGTCCTGGTTACTCCCCTCTACTTCTTTTTTTTTGCACTTGTCTCCTTTCTTTGATGCTTCTCCTATGTCTAGCATTCTCTCGGCGCGTGTTGACTTCCATAGCTTTGACTCTGTCAACTTAGAGAGGTAAACTGATGCATGCTTGAATTACAGAAATTGAGTTCATTCAGAAATAGCAGAGGAACTGCAATTCTGGAATCACACGCTGTAGCAAGCTCCAAGTAAGTCCCTTGAGGGTTTGGGGTGGGCTGTATTTAAACACAAGGGGTTCAAAGAGGGGAAATTCTGGAGTCTAATGGGTAAGCTCATTGGCTTGAGGATGGCAAAAAATCCTTGGAAGATGTTTACTGGTCAGGAGATAAATCTCGGTCTTCTGTAAATCAAGCATTTACGGGAAATGAGTCTCTCTGTTACTAAATTCCATTCTTCTGAGGGCAAATATGTGAGACTCCCCATTTCATAACCTCCAGTTCCATTTCAGATTGAAATCCTTTCACAAGTATTCAGTGAGAGTGGCCTTGTCATGCTGGTGGCCAAATAACTCCTGACACTCTGTCTAATGTGATCTTTTGCTTTTTGGTCCTTGATATTGTTGCTATCATCCTAAAGTGGCGATTTTCAATCTGTGTCCCTACAAACCCCAGAGTTAGCAGAAGTGCCTCAGGGCAGTTCCAGCAAGCCAGTCGCCAGGAGTGAAGACCTCCCACATTCCTGCCTCAACTAGAGCAAATACGCTTTTACCCAACTCTACACGGAATTTCACTTGAAAAGATGGCTCAAAAAAAATTTTTTTTTTTTAAAGTTTGACTAGCATTGACCTAGAACAGAGGTGGAAGAGTACGAGAATGTCCAGAAGACAGCAGGAATTCAGGGGGCCAAAGATCTTTTCCGGTAAGATCACCTGTCCCAGGAGCTCAGCTTCTTCTAAGCAATGATCAAGTTGAGATGAATATAAAATTGCCTTTAGAGGATGATTCCACTGTTCTCTTTTTTCCAGTGTTTTTGAGATATAATTGACATACAGCAGTGGGTAAGTTTAAGGTGTATAGCAGAATTATTTCACTTACAGATATCATGAAAAAGGTTTACTTAACATCCATCCTCTCATATAGATACCAAAAAAAAGAAAGAGAAAAAATATTTTTCCTTGTGATGAGAACCCTTAGGATCTACTTTTTAGCTTTCATACATACCAGACAGCAATATTAATTCTAGTTATCATGCTGTACATTACATCCCTAACTTCTGTTCTTCATAACACAGACAAGCTCATCCTCCCACTAAGGCAAGCTCCCGCCTGGCATAACTGGGTACAGCCAGCTCAATCCACTTCGCTGGCATTGGGGGCACAGAAGGGGCAATTCCATGGTAGATGGGAAGGGTACTTCCTCAAGTTCAGAATATGTGATGCTGTATTTCCACTCTTGAAGGTCGATAGCCAGTTTTACCTAGAATTATGTCAGCGTGAAGGTTTGGGAAATTGGTTCTCAATCTCAGAATCTCTAAGGGACCTTTAAATAATACCAGTACCTAGACACTACACTGAGAGGTTCTGATTTAACTGGTCTTAGATATGGCCTGCGCATAAGTATTTTTTAAATCTCCCCAGGTGTCTTGAACATACAGTCAGGGCTGAGAACCTTTCATTTACGATAAGACCAATCAAACATAAAGAGCAAGCCATTAGCTTAAATGTGGAGAATCCGTGGAACTAATGGTTGGAGTGACCAAAAGATTTAATGGGGCTACAGAGAGATTATTTTGTGGTGAGGGTCAGGAAAGGGGAGAAGGTACCAGAAAGTAACCATTTCATTTAGCATATCTGTCAGGCTTCAGAATGATCCATTTGCTGGGAAGGTAAATCCACGGCACTCTCAACATACACCTTGGAAGGATTTCTAAACCATCACTTATGGGCACAGACAACAGTCTGGCCACAACTAGGTCTGCCAGCCAGTTGGTGTCTGCTAAGTACAGGAGACCCAAGCAAGGGTTTGAGTTTGGAAAAACGAGAAAAGAGCGAGCAGAACAAACCAGATCAAACTACTCTCTTGCTTGCACCACCACCATCCTGACCCCTTGACTTTTCTTTCCTTTCACATTATTTGTTGAGTCCTTACTTACTAAGTCAAAAATATTAAGTTTGGGGAACTCATTTTGCATTTAAAAATGAAAAGACAAGAATGCTGTTCCCTTTGTGAAAATTAATAAAGGGAAGCTTCATTTAAAATGGAGACGGGAGGCCACCAGGGGGAGCCCTCAGGCACTACCACTAAAGTCAGTTCCACTCCAACAGGAAGAACGGTCAGTTATGGACCTCAAGAGGGAGGAAGAGACACACCTTGTAAGTTGATGCCACTTCACTACTCTAGGAGGAGGAAGGAAGATTTCCCTCCTTGCCCAGCAAGTCAGCTAATGAGAAGCCATCACCACCCGAAACTTTTGGCCTTTCCTTCAGAACAACCCTTCCCAGCTTCCTCCTCTTTCTCTATAATGTTGCTCTCCGTTGCTTGCTGGACTTGCCTATAGTTTTTGCTATAAGTCATGCTTGTCCTGAAATTCAATTCTCTGCTATTCCCAAATAAACTCATTTTGATGGTAAAATAACTGGCTATTCTATTTTATGGGACAACAGCGTGGAGCTTGCATGCCGGTAGATGAGCTCATGGTCTAGCTTTCCCTTCCGTTTCCTTCAGGGTTTTGAAGTGGTAGATTGATTCCATACATTCCATACATGTCCGCTTTCTCGCCTCCAGCTCACTCCTCAGCCTACCCCAATCTTCCATCCTCTCCACTTGTAAAGACCGATAATAAACTTCTCGCTGCCAAATCCATTCACTCAGCACTCAATAAAGGTTTGAATGACCATAATACTTCTTTGTTTTCATTTTATTTATTTAACCTTGTTTTGGAATTAGATACTATTACCCATGTCCTCTCCCTCTAAAAATTCTCGCCTTCCAGAGTTCCCAAAATACTTTGCTCGGTTTAGTGCTTGGCAGCGCCTCGTGCTTGATTCTCTTCCTTTCTCCAAGCTCTAGCATTTCACTCCCTGTTGTCTTCTGCCCAGAAGACTCCCCTACCACAAATGCACTTCCTTCCATGACCATCATTTATTCCTTTGTATGTTATCGCTGTCATTATGTTGCTGATTTCAAAATCAATATCCTTCACTCAAACCTCCTCACAGCCCAAATGCATACATTTACCTGTCCACTCAACATCCACCTAGATGTCCCACAGGCATAGGGAGCCCAACACCTCCAATTATCATTTCTTCTACCTCCCTGACTGCTCTTCTCCCACACTCATATCTTGTTTGAACACCACCACCCTCAGTTATCTAAGCTGTAAAGTGGGAGGAGTCCTTCACAGTTGTTACCCCTTCCCCACCAACCCCCACATCAGGCATTAGAATAGTGCGCGAAAAACTCTCAATGTACTCCATAAATGGCATTGATTCTTTTGAGAAATATGGGCACAACGCCATTTCATATGCTTTTGGTTGCATTCTGTTAGCTGGGGTGGTATTTCAGAACCTCGGCTCTAACGGCTGCTAATGAAACACACATTATATAGTATGGAATTGAATATGTAAATCAAATAAAATTACATATGTTTTACAAGTTTTATATCTTTTCAATGAGAAAAAGAATCATGGGCCAATCAGATGCTTTTCTTAAGACAGGGTTTGATTCTCTCCCACTTCTCCTGAGTCTGCTATAATGATCAGCATCCTTTGTAATCAACACCACTGGCAGAAATCTAATAAGGAAGCAGGGGAGAGGTATATTTAGTATTTATTCATTAAAATATAATAAGAACAAGGGCTATACATAGACCAGTCTCTGCACATAGAATTATGGGCCATCAGCTGAGCGAAATTAGAACAGTATTACAAACTCTCCCTGCATCTCTCCAAGTCCATGAGAGGAAATCCATCCATGACTGAAAGCAAAACTTGGTAAATCCCTTTTCTTTTCTCCTTCTTCTTCCCAATTCTGTCATTCCCTCCCCCCAGACTCTCTCTCCACCCAACGAGCTAGGTATGCCCCCTCCTCATTCATTCTCCTACTCCCACCCAGCTCCTAACCTTCTCTCTACCTAACTCTTTTTCCTTTTCTCCTAATTTTTCTGGTCTTATCTTTCTCTACAAGTCTCCCAAATTGGAGGTAATTTTAAATGCCTGGAATCAGGCTGACAAAAACAGAACTCTCCTTCGAGACTAAAGGGAGGGGAGAATCTGTGTAAGCAAAGTTACCGTTACCTAGTAAAAGAGTGGGAGTCAACGGAGAGCACTCACTCTCTATTAAAAAATCTTGTTCCCCCCACATTCATGTCTAGTATGTAGCTGACATCCACACCATCTACCCAATAACTTCTAAGTCTGGAAGGAAGCAAAGGAACTCAGGTTCAGAGTTGTCTCCGCCATAAAAATAAACTGCCTCTATCACATCTCTTCTACAATGTGGGTAGAGCTGTGGATACGCTGAGGAAATCCCTCCATTTCCACCAATGGCCAAAATGGAGGACGACGTCCAGAATGGCGATACGAGGAACTTGGAAGACCTACTCCCCAGCAAAACAAACATAACTGGTGAAAATTATAAAGCTCCAACCGTGTAAAGTCTCTTAAAATTGCCCTAAGGACATACAGCAGATGAAGAAACATTTATCTAAAAATCTACTAAGTCTTGGCAACAACAGTGAGAGTCTGTGGCACTTCAGCCATGATCTGCTGTCTCCTTCCTCCCCTCAGCTCAGCAAGAGGAAAGTTATCGTCTGGGCGGGTTTGGCCAAGAATCTAGAACTTCCTGTCCCTCAGTGCCTAGTCAGAGGCTGTGGTATCTATGGTATCCGGGGGAGGCCGGGGAGCAGGAATGCTGCCAGCATTGCTTGTTCCTGTGGCAGAGGCTCAGTTCCAGGGAAATGTAGCTGAGAGGCTGAGGGCTCCCTCCCTCCACCCAGCCCCCACTCATGGGGTGAAGGCTCTACCCCAAGCACTGCAGGCTGAGAATACCGGGGTCCTGATCCCTCTCACTCACTCACAGCGTTGCAGTTCCGAGTGGGGGGACGCAAACCAAGAAGACCAGGTTACCGCCCCTCCCAGCACAGAGCTCAGAAAGCAGAAACTTCACACAGAGAGGACGGATGCAACTCTCCTTACGCCCAGCTTTGAAGTAGTGACTCAGAGATTCTGCCCAAAGGTAGAGATCGCAGAGAGATTAAAAGCCAAATGTCAGTGTCTGTAAGTCTTTTCTCTGAGGCTCGTAATTTCCCCAGGGAAGAATCCTTCCATTTCCTTTCTGGTCCCAGTATCTTGGGGTCATGAGGGGAAGAGGGGGACAGGGGTTCAGAACGCAGGCTTCATTTGGTCTTCACACTCTGTCTTATAGAATGTCTCCAGAGACTAAACCATTTTCTGTGTGTGTAGGGAGGACTGGAAGGAATCTTGGCACTTTGCTCTGTATACGTATTTCCACTAATGCCCTCTCTTCAGCTTTTTCCCATGTCCCCACCTTTAGAATAACTGGTCTAAATTCTGAGACTTCAACATTCTATGTGTGAGAATTCGTATTCTTGACAGGGGTGACCCTCTTTCTGGGTGCCTAGGCTGCAGGCTCTGTCCTAGGTTGTCAGCTATCTCACATTTATTCGCTTCCCTGGCTTTTTGTACCCCTTTTATGGCAGATGGAATGCACTGGCCACCCAAAGGCTTTTCACATCTGCTTCTGTCCTGCATCCTCTACCGAAGAGGCTGGACAGCTACAGTACTTGTCTTCTGACATCCTCTGCAGCCAGGGCTGGCTGAGGCACCCAGTTCTAGCCTGCAGGAAAGAAGCAAACGACTCAATGGAGCTGCAGGAGAGTTTTCTAAGAGAAAGAGGCTGCGTCCTCACACCACGGTCCTCCTTTCCTCCTAGAGCTGCAGGGCTCATCCAGGGTTTATGAGGACAGATGCCTCGTGCTGGTGTGTAACAGGACTTTAGGAATCATGGTGAAAACAAAAACGTTAAACTACTTAGAAACCATCGAAACCAGTAAAAAATCCCGGAAATAAACCCAACTCATGGAACAACACCAAAGCCTTCCTTCATGGAAATTTTCAGCTTTCCTGGAGCATCTCAGTGAGACACACAAGGATTTGCAGGGGGATTTTTACTGCATTGCCCCTTGTCTCCCTGTCTTCGTCCTGCTCTCGCCTCAGCTCTATTTTAGTGAATAGTTTCTGTTAAAAATAAGAAATATATAGGCACAAGCTCCCAATTAGTCCTTTCTTTTTCTCAGGGTTTTCCTTTAGAAGCTGGGAAGGTATGTATACTACTAGAACCCCAGGAGACTGGCTCCCTGGGGAGAGTCCTATTTTCACCCCCACATCTGCTTTGAATCAGGGATTACTCCAAAAATGGATCAAACACACACACATACACACGTATACCCAGCACATTAGTGAGAAATGGATATTTATTATATTAATGATTTCTTGAAGAAGGCTGGAAGGTGGGTTTATATTGAACGTTTGTGGTTTAAAAAAAAAAAACTTCATTAAAATAGAATCACTTTAAAGATCTCTGCTTTAATCCGCCGGTCCCCAAGCATGTCTTTTTCCCCTCTGCCTTCCCCTTCCCACCTCAGGTACTTCCTCCAGCCTCCCTGCCACCCCAGCCTTTCTATTTTATGCAGAGTAATTTATCTCCTGTCTGCTTCTCATCTTCACATGCATCAGCTAACCTCTTAAAACAAAGATTCATTCTTAGGAAGCATCCTTCTTAGAAAGGAGTCTCTGAGAGGGCTGTAAATAAGAATTTTTCCTGTCACACCACAGCCATAGATTTTGTTGTTGCTGCTGAATTGATTTCGCTCACACTCCCTCTGTTTATGGCTACATTTCTCCTCTCGTCCTTCCTCAACTCCTCAGCCCTTGTTTTCTTCTCCACACTTCCTGCTTCTTTTTCTTTTCTCTCTCCTTCACACTTTCATAATGTGCCTCTCCCCTTCTCTTTGCAGCAGAACATGGGTGAGGACATGATGGGGGGCTGGTAAGGGAAGAGGGGGTGATGGTGAAGAGAAAGAGGGTGCTGGAGGAGGGGCACGCTGGGTAGTGGGCAGGGCACTGTCTTGGGCAGGCTCCCAAGAGGCAGAGTGTGAGATAGGGTTTCAGGTGTACGTGATTTGTGGAAGGAATGTGCTCAGAAAAAGCACACAGGGGGAGGAGGGAAACAGGAAAACATAGCGAAAGAGCAAACCAGGATGTGGCAAGGCTGCCTTGGCCTGATTCACAGGGCGAGAGCTCTGGAGCAGAAATCGCACCCAAGAATGGTCTGCTTTGAAGCCAGGGCCAGCCTTCTGTAGAAGGAATCAGTCAGTCACTGGCTGTCTGCTGTTCCCCCAGAGGGGAATACAGGGTCAAGTCCCAGGGTAAAACTCTGGGGAAAGAGGG